CCTGCTCGTGTGCATCTCAGGCTGTGCTGCTGCCTCTGGCCTCAGGTGTAGCATCTCCAGGAGTGCACCTTTAGCTGCTGTCTTGCCTCACTACTTCCTATGGCTTCAGTCATCTTCATGAGGATGTTTTCTGAGCTCTAAACTCTCTCCATAGTCTAACTCAGCACATTGGTCTCTTGTGTGCCAGCTATGGTTCCAGGTGCTGGGACCCCACTGTGCCGGCATCTCAAATTTATCACTCCTGGCTCAAGTTGTGGAATCATATTGTCAACCAAAAGTCAGAAACCCAGGGGCCATTTTAGATTTCCTTCTCTCACTTCTTCCTAGAATCTAGCCCCTCCTCTTTATCCCCAGGGCCTATGCCTTAGATCAGACCCTTGTCTCTAACCTGGATTGTTGAGACTGTTCTCAGCTGGTCTCCAAAACATCCTTATACTTCTCCATATGGTCACAGAGTGCTAAAAACACTTTTAGTCATTTTCTGTTGTCGCCTATGAAAAACTTTTAAACTCCCTAGTGGGACTACTAAGGCTCTCCATGGTCTGTGTGGCCTCTGCCATCTCTGGCTAAACTCTTATCCCCAGGGCCCTGCCTCTCAACAGACCTAACTACCCTCCCTCACTCCAGCCCTGCAGCCCTCTTTCTGCTGTTCCTGGCTTTATCCAGTTCTATCATACTTGTTTTCATATCTGTCACCCACTACAGTGCAAACCTGAAGGCACTCAGCATTGTTCCAGTGCTCTTTGTTGTTTGATAAAAGAATAAAAAGACCTTTTTTTTTTTTCCAGAGGACTATTTTAGTCACCAAATATCCCAGGTGGCTAACCAATGGCTCTGGCATACACAGGTCACACAAAGGCAGCTTGTCCTGTTGCAGGGGGAACCAGTGTGAATCTCCCAGTATCTTCACAGCATACTCTCCTGCTGCCTTTTAGGCCACGGCCTGGCTAGGGCAGTGGTTGTGCCACTTTGCTCTAACTTCAAGCTAACACAGGTAGTGGTTTGGGAAAGGAACCGGTATTATAACTGGCCGGGGTTGTACTGCAGGCCTCCCTGAGGTGCAGATTGGATACTGTCCAAGCATATGCTTGAAACGGAGCTCCGGGTAATGAATGCTGTTTCAATAGTGTTATTAATATAATTGGTCTGCAGTGCACACTGGGGGCATGCATCAAAAATATTCAGGAAGCCTTTGAGTGTGGCCAGGGAGTTGTTTCTAATACTCTCATGCGTTAAACAGGCTGACCTTTAGCCTGGAGGATTACTCAAATTTAACTGTGCAATAAAACAAGAATGCAAGCCCAGGAGGGAAGGGAACATTTATAGCATAGTGGCTAAAGATTTGTTGCAGCTGTATAAAAACTAAAGCCTTTGTGGCCATGCTTTAAAATTAAGAATTTTAGAATCTCGGGAAAGGTTTTGAGGGCTAGTGCCAATTCTCGGTGAAAACTGGATTGGTTGTCACAAATTTAACATTGTAAAGGTAAGTAGTGGGTGACTCACAGCTGATTCAAACACGTGTTCTCTGGGAAGCATGGCCCCAAGTCTTCTCTGTGAGCTCCTCATCGCTGCACCTTCCCTGTGTCCCCGCGGTGCAGCCTGGCACAAATTCGGCATCCAAGGGCAGTCCCGAAGATAAACACCCGCGTGGAGGCGGACCCCAGGGCTGACTGAGGGCGGTCGGCGAGGGCTGTCACCCTCCTGCCCTCCGCCTTTGCGAAGCCAGGTCCGATTTCTAAGATAACATTTAGCCAACTTTGGATTAAATTATGAAACATTATAAAAGTTGGACACTTGTCAATGCCTCCAGGCAGTTTCGTTCCCGCCCCGGCCCCCATCCCGGCTTCTGCGCCCCTCTGGTCGCGAGCTCTTCCTCAGCCCACGCCCCGCTCCAGCCGAGCACACCCGGGCCCCGGCCCCACTGGACTATCACCTAGTCGTCCCCACTCCGGATGGCCACCCCCCGGCCAGGGGGCGGCGCTGCGGCGTCGCGGGGAGAG